GAATACATGCAAGTCTGTCAACAACACTTACCACCATCAATCTTTTTATTAGTAAGCAATAATCTTCAAAATAAAGACAAATCACTGGGTGGACAAAGATATTCTAAGCAGATAAAACAATTAGCAAATTCAATTTATTTCATCAGCCCCAGTGTTTTTCATTTTCTCCAATAATCATTGTATATTCCTTCTATTCGGACCTTAAGGAGAGTCACTAAACAATGTGATTTACAACCTGGACTGAATGACTTTATTTTTTACTTCCTGGATTTCAAAATGAGAAATTTTAAATCGGAAGCCTTAGATTGCTTTTATGTGCAAATGAAATGTCTATAAAAACAAATTTATTCTACAATATTTCTAAAGACCAAATTGTTGCTTTTAACCAACCTGGTCCTTTCAGAACTTACAAACCAGCCACATATGCACTAGTTCTTATGATTAGAGGAATCAACAGCAATTTGAAACAGCCAATTGCATATTATCTTGTTTCAAATAACTGCTCTGGTGCTGATCTAAATTGCATCATTTTTTCAGCAGTTATAAACTTCGAAGTATTAAACTCAACGTGAAATCATTTATCACTGATCAAGGATCAAATTTTATTCGATTTTTTAATTTCGATCAAGTAACTCCAGAAGAACCATTTTTTGAAGTAGATGGACAAAAAGTGATTTATATTTTTGACCCACTTCACCTATTAAAATCAACTAGGAATATGTTTTTTTTTTAAATAAGATAGAAATCAATGGAGACGTAGTAGACAAAAATATTTGGATATGTCTTATAATTATGACAGTAAATCTAATCTCCGTATGGCACCAAAATTAACTTACTTTCATATTTATCCTGGTCCATTTGATGAGATGAAAGTTTGTTAAGCAGTCCAAGTGTTGCAAATGKTATGTCTACAGCATTAAACTGTGCGGTATTACCAGTTGATTCTCAAAGCACCATACATTTTATCAATAACATGGACAAGTTATTTGATGTATTCATTTCAAGAGAAGTCCTAAACAGTAAAATTTACAACCAACTTTTTAAAAACACATCACCTGAAACAGACTACTTGATAAAATGACAGAAGTATTTAAAAACATAAAGGTTATAAGTAAAWAAATAATTCTGATGTAACTAAAGCTAAACAGACATATTTCATTTATGGTTGGTTGGTTTCTATTATCGGATTAAGAATGCTTTGGAGTTCCTTAAATCCAGCCAAAAATCCAAACTACTCANAAAAATAATTCTGATGTAACTAAAGCTAAACAGACATATTTCATTTATGGTTGGTTGGTTTCTATTATCGGATTAAGAATGCTTTGGAGTTCCTTAAATCCAGCCAAAAATCCAAACTACTCAATTTGTACGGGACGTTTGAACCAGGATTGTCTAGAAAATTTGTTTGATACTTTTCGACAGCAATACGGCAACAACACACATCCTAYTCCAGTTCAATTCATTCAGTCTTTAAAAAAAATATTTTGCCTTTAGTACTACAGACATTTACTTAAAGCTAATTGTATTKAAGATATGGACCAAGTTCTAARACAATCCTAATAAAAAAGTGAGAAATGTGATCGCTCCTGAAGACAAAAATATACAGTAGAACCTTATTGATCCGGACTAATAAGGGCTCTAGGTTGTCGATTTAATGAAAGTCMGGATTAGACAAAATAACCAAAAAACATGTCTCTATTATAGATTTAAGAATAATATATTAAACTAATTACTATATAAGATGATATATTGCAACAATGCAACATAATATTAGATCCAGCAAAAACATTACATATCAACGTAATGCATGTAATCATAATTATTATATATTTAGGCACACTTCCATTAACTGGTTTGAAAAAACTGGAAGTCTTTKGTAGTCTTCCTTTCGCATTTATTTCTCATATTAATAATTCACATAGATGTCTCAAATGTTCGTAATATACAGATATGTTTTCATCGTTGTTATCTCAACATATTTAAGGACAATATTTAGATGGTCTTTAATTTCACCAAGTTTTAGCTTAGACTTGATACTATTGTCTACTTCTTCTTGTTCATATATTCATCCATTTTAGAGTTTTCTGCAGTGTGAGGCTTTCAAAAATCTCTTCTTCTGTTAAAATGTGATAGCTATTACGTTTTTTTAAATTTATGGCATATACTGCGTTATTTCGTTATATTACACAACTGTTTGGATTAAGCGAAGTCTGGACTAATGGGGTCCAGATTAATGAGGTTCTACTGTATTTAAATTTAAAAATTGCAAATTGGTACAGTAGATTACAAAAAACTGAATATTCCAGATGCTAATGCTTATACTTACGTATGTAGATGTTTTGTGAAGAAATGTTTGGAGACCCATTCTTGTAAAATTTGTGTGAACTGTGCAAAACCACCAAAAAAATATAAATCAATAATTTCTTCTATCATTTTTTAAAGCATTTTCTTCAAATAAGGATTTTACTTTTGGTAAATTACTTATGTTTCATGATGATTTTTATAATTACATACTTAGTTAAAAAATATTTTTATTGAACAATTTCCTGTTATCGCCATAAACAATAATGTTGGATACCTATTAAATGACTTATTATGTAATGAAGGATTCAATCATCCATGTGAGTTATTTAATAAGCAATTCCTTTTAAAAATTTTACTAGTGTTAAATTTTTAAATAGAATTATGTTATCTGAAACAAAACACCAAAATAGGAAA